TGCAATAAACCCTCCATAAAAAAAAAAAAAATCTGAAATGTTTCAGATTTTAAATTACGTCCAAAGGGGCGTTTTTTAACATTTTGTGTGTTACCTTTCTTTATTAAATATCATGTTCCTCGCACTTAAACCATAAGATCCAGTGCAACAGCAATATCGCAAAATAGTTTTAAAACGAGCATATCTTTAGAATTTCCGATACAGAGACTCACGCGCTGGAGATAAAAATGTTTTTTCTTCTGCACAACGTTGCCATTGCTCGCTTTGAAATCCTTGAGTTTGTTAATCAAAAATTCGTCAAAGTTTTAAAAATAGGAAATCGATCATAAAACAAATTTCAAATTTGGTCTTCCACATGCTCATATTCGTTGGAGGAATTACGTTATTCAAAATTCGATGACTTTATGTACCGTTGTTTTATCACAATACGAGAAATATACATACATTTATGCAGATTTTTTCATTATTTAATTTCTTTCAAATATAATGCAGGACTCTAACATTTTGTGGCAAACAGTTTGAAAAGTGAACCGACGTTTATGAGTCCGACGCAAAATCGCAAAACGAAAACAATAGTCCTTCAGGGACAAATCCCTTTGGACTAAAAAAAAAAAATAATAAAAAAAAAAAAAAAAAAAAACCCATCACATTCTCCCCTCCTCCTAATTCTTCAGATTGTAGTTTTTTTGTGGCTATACACGGTGTAGAAAGAAGAGTTTCCAATTCTGCAAGATCATTCCACAGTCTTTCTGTTAGTGAAACATTAGGGTTATCTATATCTTCTAAAAAAGTTCTTAATTCTAACAACGTCTTTATCATCAAATATGTACTTCCTTATCGCGCTGCTTGACAATAATTGCTCATTTTCCTGCTCGCTTCCTAAGAATGGTATCAATTTTGGGAGTTCTTGCTGCTTACCTAAATTTACCAGCGAGATTTGTAACTAAATGAATCAGTTATCAATGGCAAATATCACATCCATCCTCCTCCCTTATATTTATTTATTAATATGTCAATAAAATAGAAAGTAACTATTTATTAATGTGTATAGTCCATAAATAAAAATAATAACTCAAGTTGTCATTAATTTTTTTCACATTTTAATTTCATTTCAAATTCAAACTGCCTGACAAAAACTGAAGTCGGAGTCGACCTGTTTTTAGCGACTCGAGCTCCGACTCCTTTTACCCCAAAATCTGTCCAACTCTGATTCTGACTCCACAGCCCTGCCTTTGCAATATTAATGAGGGTAAAAATAATTTTAATATGTTACCACTTTTTAACTCATGAGTTTTTCTCTTGATCAGCATTTTGAAGTGAAACCGGTATTCTCCAACTACAAAACCATGCGTTACATATCCAGCTGAGTGTCGGATCCTCATTTACTGATTGTCCTGAATTACCACACTAGTTATGGTTAAGCATGCGTGGAAAAGGCGTATTTACAAGAGAGACATCATGAAGGCATGTTTTGATTGCAGAATAGATGGAGTACATCAAAAGGGATATCTCGACTTCTAATACCAAATATGGTATTATTCGAAGGTTTCTTAGCTCTTTAACCCTTTGCGACACGCATATTTAAAATATATTTTAATCTTTAAAAAAATGCCTTAGAATAAGTCAGACGGACTTACTTAAGTGCCTTTAAGGCTTGAAAAAAATTCTGCACTTTTATTTTTTACGGTGGAAGGTGGGATACCGTTTGTCCCACCATGCAACTAGCACGTCTTATAGCATATTGGTGTATAGCAGGAAAAAAAAAATCATATGTGGAATGAATAAACAAAATAAAGCGTGCATTCTAAAATATTCATAATAAACACACTAAAATACATTTGTACTTATTGCATATATGCATGACTTGTAAAATTTTGCATATGCATATTTTGCATTTAATATTTCAAATTTTAGGAACAAAAAGAAAATATTTTCTTGAATATTATTTTAAGATTAAAATTTGATACTCGTACATATGATACTAAATAAAATATTAAAATTGGCACTTGATTCAAAAACATTTATATATGATTAAAAATTGAAAAAAGTCATTTTTCATAAAACTTTGAAAAAATGTTGTTTCATTCTTTTGTAAGTATAGGAGGCACTTCACATGTTTCACACATCCAAAATGTTCGTCGTTCTTCTTTCGATGTGCTGCAATATGCACATCTTCTGCTGCTCCTTCTCTTTGGTGTTGTGAACTTACATTTTTTAGTCTTTTCTGGTTGTACGAAACGGTTTTTTAGTTTTTATTTGAACTGGGGATTTCAGTTCATTTTTCAGCTCTTTCTTGCCTGCAAATGTGCCATTAGACCTTCTATAAACTGAGAGACTAAAATCTTTCATTGTTTTTACATCATGATCGGGTTCGCGAACAAACTTAAATAGAATAAATGTGTTTACTATACTCGCATGTAAAAAGGAAAAAAATATCCTGTGCCACCATTTCTTGCTTTTGCTAGTCTATTTCATATAGTCCTTTCAGTTGATCAAATAAGTCGACATATCCCATATTCTTATTATATGAAATAATGCTGTTTGGGCACAGTACTTTTTTTGTTGTTGTTGTTGTTATTGTTTTTCCATCTCGTTCTTTTCTATTAATTTCTTTAATTTCAGTTGCCTTTTCCAAGCAAGACGGGATAGAAACGGATCTTTTATCCTTTCATTTTATGCAATAAATTTAATCATCGTTAACTGAAAAGTTTATATATTCTCTTGACATAAATTTGTCTTTTAAATTTTTGGGTAGATACTTCCGATCCATATTTACAGAGCCACATGCATAGATGGGTCTGTGTCTTTAAAAAGCAAAACAAATTATAACTACTTCCCTTTCTTCTTCAGCAATAACTTCAACCTCATTTATTCTCTCCTGGATTTCAATTTCATCTGAATCAGACTGACATCTGAAGCATTTGAGTCGCAATCGGATGGCAATTCAGCAAAAAGATCCAAAGCTTTCCTGAGTTATTAATATTTTTCTAGACATTTTAGCACATCAAAGCATACAACGGATGTCAAAAGTGCCCGCAATCACGAAAAAAGGTAGATGCAAAAAAGAAAAGAAAAAATAATCGTAAGTGCTGCCATCTTATTGAGCGGAAATTCAAGTGTGTGATGGGACAGAATTTTAACCCACTTATTTCAACCGGAAAATTAATGTTATAAAAATATTGAATTCCAATTAAGACTTTTTGAAAATAAAATTTCTTCGAATATTAAAAAAGAATCATACATATCATAAATTGTATACCAAAACTTTAAATATTGAAAATGCGAGATACATGGATATCACTATTGTGATCCTATTTTGAATATTTTTTGCTCATAAACTTAAGCCCTAGTATAGTAGTAACATCTACTGAGAAAAATAATAACTAAAATAGATTATTTTTAAAAGATTAGAAAATTTCTAACGGAAATTGCTAACTGAGAAAATAAATATTAATTAGGTGGGACATATATTGACCCACCATGCCGCAAAGGGTTAAAACTTCTTGTGCATGTTAAATTTCATAGGATTCAGAGAGCCGAGTATTTCAACTGAGAGGAAAAAGTCCACACTTACCCTTTTCACCAAATGATTCATTTTTCTCGAAAGTATCACCGAAATTAGCGATGTATTTTTAAGAATTCAGAATCTTTGCTGTATATATTTTGTTTAAATCTTTTACAATTATTCCAGTGTTGACTAGCTTGTATCTAATGTAAAGAAAATTTTCTTAAATGCACACCATATTGTATATGGTGTATTAAATTCCAAGCTCCTAATCTAGCTTTGCCATTGAAGCCTGTTATAGCATGTTAGGGAACATGGATTAATGTATGCATGTGCTTATACAGAAAATTTTTGAACTGTGATTAACTTTGATGTGAATGATGCTGCTTTGATTCGAACTGCATGGAACGTTTTCTCTATAGACAAAATTGAATGGTATCTTATGTATATCTCGTCCAATTTCAGGATCCTAGCTTCAGCTATTAAATTCTTATAAAAACCAAATAAGGAACTTGTTGGTGTAATCAATTACATCGAAAAACTAGGCAACAATTTAAAAAAAATGGTGGGGGAAGTTTCAAATACTGCATTTGCTAAACTCTTTTCTTTTTTATACTGAAAACTATGACTTCCAAACAATGCAGAAAATATCCCTCATCTTGACAGGAAAAGCAGACTCTTGAAACTGAACTGATAAGTAATGTAGGCTTTCAAGTATGCTCCAATAGTTGCAGTATATGTTGAAAGCAGTTTCTCAGGATATAAAAGCTTATATACAGACAAATTTTTCACATTAAAAAATATCAAGAAGCACTTAATAATTCAATGCAACTGTAATACATTTGTGTAAAACTGAAAATTCAAGTGAGAGAGATGTGTAATTGCATGGGTTTTAATCCATTTGTCAATTATATCATTTTTACATAATTATACTTTATTTTTTTAAGGGCACTGATTACGTTATTCTGATAATTTTCATGTTTGTGCTTCATGTGCTGCACTTTTATGGCCTCATTTATAAAACAAGAAAACAAATTCTCATAGTCAATAGTCAAATAAGTAAATAAAATTCTTATCTTAAACTTGCTAGTAATTTATTACGCATAATATCATACAGAAAAGAATACTTCAATGTTTCTACATTAAACAGAGATGTGGAATATTGGCTTATAAAATTTATCACTAGTTCAATGCTCATTTAGTGAATCATCTTTTTCTTCACTGGCAGGTTCTGTTCCCCCCCAGATAGGTAGTCAAATATATAAAACTGAAGTATTTCAAAATTTTAGAACGTTTTGCAATTGTGAGCTTATAATAAGCCAAAAATCTTACATAAAAAACAAACTGACAGAAATTTAATTAGCAAAATGGTCATCTAATATAAAACTATGTTAAAAATATATGCAAGCAAAAATATTGCTCTTATAAAGTTAAATTTTAAAAAATTTGGAACTTTCTGCTCTATCTATCAAAAACTTTCTTCTTATTTCAGTTCTTTCTTCAATATTTTTATTCATAAGCATTCTATTAGTTTACAATTCAAGTATTTGGCCCAAAAGAAGAATAAAATATTTATTCAGCATTTAACAACAGTATGAAAATATATTGATGAGAATAAAAATTTTAAATGAGGTAATGTTTACAATTCTGTTAATTAAATTAGTAATAATGATCTAACAGAAAAATGTCTAACTAGCAGAAAACAGTGAGCTAAATACCGTTCTTTTAATTGATTCTAAGAATTCAAATCTTATAAATGTGGTTGGCCATTCCAAATTACTTTCTGCTTTACAAATTCATATTAAACAAAGAGTTTGGTTGAACATTTGTCTCATGACATTATTACACTTACTATTAAGATATGATAACATATTTTAAAACATCATTCTATAGTATTCTATAGTCTATTTTCTGTGTAGCTGAAATACAAAATAACATGAAAATATTGGTTATATGATTTATTTGAATATATTTTCATAGCAATTCATGTGTTTTATTAGTTCTGAATTTTAATTATCGTGTGGAGTTACTTTATCTCTTGAAAGCATATATTCAGTATTTTTTCACCACAGTAATTTTATACATAAGGAATCAATACGAGTGCTTGAATTACTCTTGTTTAAGAGTCCAAATTTTCTTAAAATTTAGTGATGTAATTAATCAAAGATGCTTTACAGAAAATAAAAGTTAATTAATTTCAATTTCTTTGCTACTACAATGCACACACACATGGATAAATTGAAAAACTAATAGTAATACATTTCTAGGCATTTCAGTTATTGATTTTCAGACATGAAGTGTGCTGAATACCAATTCTATTCCTTTTTAGAACAATAAGTTATAGTAAGAATTACTTTAACAGTGTCTATTTTAATGACCTGGAAATAGATTATGGAATACAAATATACAATTTGTTACAAAAACACACATATTTTAAAAAACAAAGATTTTACTTTATTTTGATGCAAAATTTGCATTAATTATATAAATACATGAATGCACAGGAAGACATGCTATTTTTGGCAGTCTGATTAACAATCAGTCTTCAAACAACATACTGACAAGAGCTGCACTTTTGCATTGTTCTTCTTCTAGTCTCTTTGGCTAGAAAAGCAAATGAATGAAAAATATGAATATCATATGAATTTCAGAATGTCTAACAACAGATGAAAACAATAAACAAATTAAGGTGTAATTTGAAAACTTGTTGTTAGTCTAACACGATAGAAAAAAGAAATTGTGGAGTTATTGCATACTTCTTGGGGCACGAGACATGAGAAATCTAGAGTGCTCTTGCCAGGACTCAATTTTGGACCTTCTAATTACTTCTCAGGCAGACTCTCCACATTATACCATGAAGGCACACAAAATAAGGAGGGAGAAAAATATTACATTCTCCCCCACTTAAAGGATGACTAAGAAGGCTAGGGCCCAGCTGTCAACCCTGTGGTGACAAATTATTATCTACCACTTGTAATCTTAGAATCAATAGGTACCAGAGCAAGAAATGTGAAAAATGAGTAATGCTTTTGATGTAATTCGAACTCTGGACCATTTCACTTTTCGCTGGAAAAAACCTTGCAAATCTGCAATTAATTTTTTTAAAAATTAAATACATATAAAAGAGTACAAATATTTTACTTCTCTTTTTAACAAAAGTAATATCTACTATTGCTAATGTATCAATCTTTATTATTAATTAAAATTCAGTTCAAAATGAATTTTAATTTTAAAAGCTAAGATAATTTTAAATAACAAAAACTAAGATTTCTGTAGTTCTTTTTTGACATGAAATTGTACAAAAAAATAGCTAAGTAAGGTTTAGGAACTCTCCTCCTGTAGTAGCCATTTGCTTCATTCCATTATACAGCTATTATTCTCTTTTTAACGTATCCTTCTGATTCCGAGGGTTATTAAACAGTTTTTCTAAATCTCAATTTCTGTAGTCCCAAAACATGCCTAATACATATTATACATGATAAAAAAATAATTCTGCTGAAATTGTTGACTTTTAGTATTTGACCAAGACTGAAATATCATTTGATAAAAGTTTATTAATTATATCTATTTTGTTTGCTGCCTAGCACTAATGTTCTTTGCTTGGGAGAGGTGATAGAATAGAAAGAAAAACTATTTCCATAAAGAACATTAGAAAAGTCCATAAAAGTACAAAGTGAGAAAGAGAAAGGTCAGCATTGGGGAGGGGGACAGAACAGCAATGATGCATGCGTGTGATGTTATGTTGTACATCAAATACACATCTGAATTGCACATTTCTGAAATGCACATCAGATTTTTGTTGTTAATTAAATTAATTCAATCTGAAAATTGTGAAGAAAATTTGTATTTTTAATGTTAATACCAATATGAAATTAAAATTTTAAATCAGGGAATTTTAGTCTTTTTCATTGATCACTTTAAAATAATTAGTTTTCTGGTCAACCCTCCAACACTTTTCTCTATGATATATAGCGAACAATATAATCATAATGCAAATAATTGTGGTTAAATAATTCAAAGATAAAAATTAGACTAAGAATGTGAAAAAAAGTTTTATTAGACTTATGTTTTAATATTTTTCGCATTATAGTACCCACTACTTACCACTTACATTTATTCCAATGTATTTGAGTTATTAAGCTGCTGAGTTTAATAGATGTAATTTGCATATTGCAAATTGTGACATTAATTTTAAACTTTTAGAATTTGCAGTTTTTTTTCTAGATTCGACTAATAATGGCATTTCATCACTTTCCCCCCCATATCACTTTCACTGTCAGTTCTTTTAACATTTTCCCAGTCAGTTTTTATACATGTTGTTTCAATATTGTTTTAAACTGACACATGTTCTAAGGAAAAATCTCCATAACTTCTCTCACTATGTCTGAAATATTACATATAGTTTGAAATTCCTCTGAAATTTCTTTTGTGTAAAAGCCATTATGCAAAGTCCCATTTTTTGTAAAGGCGACAAAAATTTATTTCATCCCAAGCTTAATTAAGTAATGAGTAAATGAAACGAAAATTGATTTGCATAAGGATGCTTCAGCATGTATGAAAAAATGCTAGAATGGCATTAGAGTGCTTAGTTTGTGCACTGCACTCTCCCTTATACCACAGCATTGCTATGAAGATTTCTGTCTTTTTGAACAGCAGTCAACTTGCATAGAAGTGCGGCATCTTTACGCCGAGGCACCTCTATGAAGGCATCCTTGATATATTTCATTATGTTAAATGACAATACAATGTTAAAGCAATACGTTAAATAGATGAATTACGAAAATCTCTGATAGACACAAATAGTATATTCTAACACTGAAGAATCAATCTTTTGCTAATTTGAGTTTAACATAAGAATTACAGCAACAGCCATTTTTATTGTATCTCCATTTTGACTGGACATAACATTTTAATTTTTGATTTATAAGTTTGATATTTTTTGACATTTTCTAAAATCTTACGAATATTATACATTTCGTCCACATTAAATAATTATTTTTGCCAATATTATTGTTTACACCTACAATTATGGCTATCCAGAAAATTATATATTTCTCGTTACTTTTATAACTTTTTTAGCTATTTTTGGTTTGCTGATTGATAAACAAGTGTATTTTTGGTAAGGAATATTGCATATTTCACAGCAGTGGGGAGGAAAAGAGTGAGGAAGGGGATAAAAACATCTGCTTGAATTTTTGCATGTCACATGTCTGTACATTTCCCTTGTGTTAGAAAGGTTAATTTTCAGTACACACAAATGCACTTTACTTTATTTGGATATTTTTGCTGTTCTGACCTGTTATCACATTGCGAAGAAGCATTGACAGAAAATATCTAATGAAGGAAGAGGTGATGAAGAGGTTTGAAAGTCTTTCTGATGATAATTCTGCTTCAGAAGCTGCAACCGATGAAGAATTTCATACCAAAACTACATCCAGTTTTCCCGACGAGGACTGGATTGTTCTTACTGAAACAAGTGAATCTGTGTCACTTGATGGAGACTCTGTTCATGAAACGGAAAAGGGAACTAAAAATTTAGTTCAAGAAAATATTATATTGCTTCCTACTAGTATACTAGTTTGGAAAACAGGAAATATTTTGACAAGTGTTACAAGGAGACGCCCTGAGAAGAATGTCTTACGGGAACTACCTGGGTCTACTTCATAAGCAAAGAGAAAAATAATTGATGGTAACCCAAGTAGTGCATGGAGAATGTTTGTCAACAAAAAAAATATTGCATTATATTCAGCAGTACACTAAAGAAGATGCACGTAAGAAATCTCAAAATCCAAATTGGAGTTTGCCACTATATGGATGCTTTCATTTTTGACTGTTGTATATTTACGGAGCTTTGGCTGCAAAAGCTCTTTCTATTTTGAGCTTATGGAATTTTCCACTGCAACAATGGGTATGGATAGGTTTCTGGAAATTATGAAATATTTGCACTTCGACAAGAAATCAGCTAGATCCCAAAGACTGCATGCTGATCCATTTGCCCTTGTTTCAGATATTTGGAATGCTTTCATAGAAAACTGCTTGAAATGTTATAAACCAGGCGAAAATATAACAGTGGATGAACAATTATTCCCCATGAAGACCCAATGCTGATTTATTCAGTACATGTCTAAAAAGCTGGACAAATTAGACATTAAATTTTGGCTTACTACTGATGTACAATCAATGCAGCTTTTCGCTTGACGGAACTTTGCTACACTGGAAGAAACCTGACAATGGAAAATTTTTTTACTTTCCTGAAATTAGTACAAGGAGTTCAAATTTTACAGTTCGACCAAATATAGTATTGATGTTTTGTACCAGATGACTAAAAAATACTGATGCCATTCAGAAATTGGCCCGTTCAAGTTTTTTTTAATATTCTTGATCTGGTCACAATAAATGCATACATAATATACAAGGAAACAACTACACAAACTAAATATAAGAACATCAGCCATCATGATTTAATTCTGAACATGGCTGGAGATTCGAAAGATGTACATTTCATCAAATTTCACAAACTTCCTGAATTTAACGAAAGAGAATTCATACTTGCGTCGACCCTTCCTGTAAGCGTAAATGATACCAAATAAATACATGGAGAAGCAATAAAACTTTGTATACTTGTGAACACTATAAAAATATGTTTGTGGAACCTGTACAGGTAAAAATTAAAAAAATTGTAATCTGTATGCACTGCAAAACTGAGTAATGCAAGTACTAATATGTGTAATTTTTAACATAATTATTCCATATTGAAAATTTCGAGGGAATTCATTCAATGATAAGTTTAAAAATATCTAGAGTGATTTTTTTTCTCTTTTAGCTCTTTGTTATAATAAATTATCCTTCGATTAACATAATTATTCACTTTATTTTGTTCTTTGTTACATTAAATTATCTTTTGGTTGCACACATTTACTCAATTTACTTATCAAACAAGCAAATTGTTACAAGCATTAACTATATAATATTATCAAAAAGTGAGCCTTTTCTTGTATTCGAAACAAGTGGTCAAGATGACCGCTCATCGTAGTTATAGGTGTACAGAAAATGTCGTAATGCTAGTGTTAATAAATGGCACGTTTTCTATTGATTAATAGGCACTTGTTTTGGTTCCTGGAAATTTAAACATAATAAGTGGCTGAGTAAATTAACCAGAGAATTTAGTAAGTGGTTTGGTACTGTGTTATGATTTTTAATTTTATAAATATAAACAAGTCTTCAGATAAAAAATCAGATTCTAATTGCACAAAAATTTGATTTTAATTAATGCAGTGCTTGTGTTTAACATACTGATGCAATTTAAAAAAAAATGTTTGCCATAAAATTGCTTAATTTAATTCTTAAATCACCTCATTCAGAAAAAGTTAACCTACTTTTTGTCTGATGATTTTTAAATTCTAAAACTTTGCATACCCATGTATTTTGAATAAAGTTTATTTGTACATTAAAGCTTTATATAAATAAACAATTATCAATTTTATTGCTACATTTCTTTTGTAATCAATGGGATCTTGACTATGCCATTCAGTTGCTGGTGCATATTGAGCTATCAATCCCTTGATTATCACACACCTTCAGGGAGTCAATACTGATTCATTAGA